TAAACACATAAATATTGGTACAAAGGGGCACTGAATACATATACGCTACACAGTTCACCTCAATTGTGTGTGGGTTTTGATAGTGTCCGGATGCCGAAGAATGTGGTTTTCTTAAGGGGCCACACCTAGTGCCTCCGACCTAAAGGTCTAACCCACAAGCTAGTGGAGCAACGTAAGCAGATACAGTCCCATAGTAGCCAATGAACAACAATAGGTTCAGACGCCATTTATTCCCTCAGGATACTGGAGTTCATATACACCACTGGTTTCTAATACAAGTTTTCAAACTTCTCTAGGTGGATCTTCCATATCCACCAACTCGATTAAAGTGACGGACATTCACATTTTTTTCAATCAATTTAGTAAACAACACTCGTGGTGCGAGAAAACAATGAGTAAGACTTCCGTGTCAGTGGTTGTATACGTGAAGCCACATGAGAGTATTTCGTTAGGGAGAATTGACTCTTCCCATTCTCGGCCGTACCAAAGCATTCGGTAGAGCTTTTTGTTTCTCCATAAAAAGACACTATATATATATATATATATATATATATATATATATATATATATATATATATATATATATATATATCGATCTTCGGTAATGTCTCTTTACTTTTTTTTGGGATAATACAACTTCTAGTGAAGAAAAGGACATTTTCTTTATTAAATACACAAAAAAGAACTACAAACACATAATAAACTATATACAAGCAAAACAGAAATGACCTTGAACATTGAAATATTGAATTTAGTTTAGTTTAATTTTCAGTTGTTTATAATAATAAGTGAATATAAAGATAACTGCGTCATAAGACAAGCCCTCATATGGAATCCTCAAGGTCGAAGGAGGAGAGGAAGACCAAAGAATACATTACGCCGGGAAATGGAGATAGATATGAGAAAAATGAATAAGAATTGCATGGAACTAGAAAAGAAGGCCCAGGACACAGTGGGTTGGAGAATGCTGGTCGGCGGCCTATGCTCCATTGGGAGTAACAGGCGTAAGTAAGTAAGTAATACAAGGATAATTGTCAATGAATAAATCATTTTAACTATCTGTATATCTGTCATCTATGAAGACAACACCGTAGTGCATCACAACTTACATTATTTATTTGAACAGATAGATATTGATACAAGGAGGCACCAAATAGATATGTGCCACAGAAATCATTCGATTTATGTGAGGGCTAGAATACTGTCAGGGTGCCCAAACCGAAGCAGGTGGTTTGCATTGGATCCTTCAACCTAAAGGTATAATACACAAGCAGTTGAGCATCGTAAGGAGATGCAGTCCCATAGCAGCCGGTGACCAATAATTGGTTCATACATCATTTAAAACTTCAGGATACTGGAGCCTATGTTCACCATTGGTTTGGAATCAGGTTTTTCCAACTCCTCTAGGTGAATTCTGTGTGTCCACCAACCCGGTTAAAGCATTCGACATTCGCTTTTCGTCCTCTCAATTTTGTAAACAAAATCCGTGATGCGAGAAGTCAGTGAGTAGGACTTCTGTGGCAGAGGCTATATACGCGAGGCCATGTGACAGCATTTGGAGAGTGGACTCCCCCCACTCTCAGCCGTACCAGAACATTTCGGGGCCCCAACTTACAACACATGAACTGAAAGTTAGAGTTCGAAATAGAATTGTTAGCTGGATATAGATTGGATTAAAGTATGTTCCATGTGTGATTGTATTGGTTCATGATGATCGGTTAATCCTTATCCAATCATTAGCGCTGGTCGATACTTAGAGTACACTCTAGAATCTTCATATGTAAGCGAACTGTCAACATACTAACGTTTTTCTCATTGTACTTCTTACTTCCGTCAACCCCTTGTTATATGGAATATAAATCCTTTCCTGACCAACTATGTTTTGATTTGGGGACTTGTCTAGTAAATTAGCGTCCAAGAATACTAAGCAATAGGAATAGAGTGTTTTACAAAAAGAGAGAATTATAACATGAACATGAACATTAAGAAGTCGAGGTGCTAAAAATTCAAGGTCACGTAATCTAAACCATCACCACTTGAACAAAGATATTGGAACTCCTAAATTACGTCATCGAAAGACTTCAGTTGAAAAAATTTTTAAAAATTTCCAGAAAGATAACCTCAATGTTTATATATACTTAACTAGATAAACCCCCCAAATGCCCTGATGCAGCTGAGAGTGGGGAGAGTCAGTGCTCCCTCTATAAATACTCTCACATGGCCACGTACATACAAACACTGCATGGGAAGTCCTACTCACTGCCTTCTCGAACCAGGGATGTTGTTTACGAAATTGAGAGGACAAAAAGCGAATGTCCAACAATTTAACCGGGTTGCTGGATACAGAGAATCCACCTAGAGAAGTTGGAAAACCTATGATGAACATAGGCTACAGGATCCTAATGGAACAAATGGCATATGAACCAATTATTGATTATCATAGGACTGTATCTCCTTACATTGTTCCATTGTCTTGTGGATCAGACGTTTAGGTCGAAAGCTCCGAGTGTGGCCTCCTTTAAGAGAACCATCTGTTTCAGTTTAGACACTCGACCAGTATCACACACATATCAAACGATTCATGTGGCATATATCTATTTGGTGCCTTCTTGTACCAATGTTTATGTGTTTAAATAAATAAATAAATAACAGAAATCCTTTTCACACATAACCAAATCATCATTAACTTGATAAAAATAAGTTTACTATACTTAACTAATGTCATTCAAATTGTGAAGTAACGAATAAACAAACAAACATACATACAAAACTAGGTGTTACTTCTTCATAAGTACACTTCATTATTAAAATTGAATAATAAAATGTATATACTACTAATTATCACTAATTCAGTTTAATTCATACAGGAAATATTAAACAATAGCCTATATGTATATATACATAATGTTAATCTTAATTATATATGTCCTTTAATTGAACTACTCTTTATAGTGTATCATCATATAGAAGGGAAAATAACAAAATTATGGATAAATAGTATATACTACTTATAAACTTATTAATGAGTTCATTTTTATTTTCCCATATTCCCTATTGTAAATTATAATTTTAAAAAAATATAGATAAGTGGATTTAAAATTGATTGATCACTGTATGATGAGTGAGTAATGTCATGTATGTCAGATTCTTCTTAGTTCAGAACGAATGTTATCGACTAAGTTGCAATGTAGCCACTTAGTTTAAATGATTCGATATTGCATGCACTATGTTAAGATAAGATGTTAGTTGGAGGTAGTCAATAAGAAACCCTAAACTTAGGTTTCCATCTTGCACTAAGAAAGAATTGATATACATGACCTTGATCACCATTCAGTGATCAATCAAGTGTAAATACATCTCAGTTCTATAGGAGTTCAGTTGTGGCCCGGATAGCTTAGTGGTAACTTCACTGACTGTGAAGATGGGTGACACGAGATCGAATCCGTTAGGGAGAATCAGTTCCCTTAAAATTGGAAGTAAACCTATCTGACGAGTGCCAAATAACACGAAACCCGTGTCCAGGGTTTCCTATCAACAACCTCCAACCACCATTTTAGATAGGGGAATAACCATTTCGAAGCTATGTCAAATTTAATGTGAATAACTACATCCCTGTCACCGTAAATTTCAAATGAGACATTTATTAATACTTGGAATGATAAATTTTACAAATTTCGAAGATCAGTATTATCAGATGAACCATGTATGCACATTTTAACCAAGCTTCTTTAATGGTGAATTTGTGAATCGTGTCAAGTAATGGAATTCACAACCGATTACGTTTTATCCTATTTTCACTCGTCAGTTGGATATATCAACTAGTTAATGCTAATGTATACAACGAAAATTGAATGTAGTATATGCCACCTCATTAAGTGACTAAGCCTAAGTTAGTGATTAACTCATTCAGTGAGTATGAAAACCATTATTGGTTATGTTTTGTTGTTGATATTTAAGACTCTATTCCGTCCTAATGTCACTATTTTGGTCACAGTTTTTCAGTATATTGAAATTGTGGTTAACGGCGGGCAGCAGAAATAGCGTTACGTTCAGTTTCAACCATAACGTTAGCTGTACTAACGAAGGCCCCCAAATGTCCTGGTACAGCCGAGAGTAGGGAGAGTCAGCTCTCCCTCTCCAAATGCTCTCACATGGTCACGTACATAAAACCACTGACACGGAAGTCCTACTCACTGCCTTCTCAAACCACGGATGTTGTTTACGAAATTGAGAGGACGAAAAGCGAATATTTCATGTCAGAAACAACTATCCAGTGTCCCTTGCTTTTTAATGATTACCGAGGTGATCTATAATATAGATTGGAAATTATTCTAGGCTCTCCGAGGACATCAAATTTGTTGGATTTGCGAAATAAATAGATATTGAGCGATAAAACATTCCGTGTATATTGATTTCCTAGTGTTAGCCTACTTATCACCTTTATAAGTAGTTCGAACAATTTGACTTAATTTTCAGGCTTTATAGATGACTAGCAATGGAGGAACCATGTGCAGATAAATGCACTAGAATATCCGCCACACTTAAAGCGTACTTTCCCCCTTATTCTGTTAAATTAATAACGCATAACAGTTAAATTTAAAAAATCATTTACTTGAACAAAGAAACATCTATGACTAGCAAGAAAACACTACATTGCGATGTAACCCGTAGGTTCGATGTTAAACAATTGAAGGTGATCAACCAATTTAACATGCCTGAAAGATAAATCTAGAGATTTATGAAGGAAGTGATGTTTCTCATGAAACTAAACGGACATCATAAAGTATTATGATCACAGAAATTACCATTTGGTCAAGAGATTTTGTTTCGGTTTTCCTTCCAACCATATAACATCGAATAATGTCCATAGTCACTTCTACTAGTAATCATCATTATTAAGGCTTAATTAGGACTAAAGATTAAACAAGCATATCATCGATCACAATTAAGTAATCACATTGCCTCATTGAAAAAGAACTCTCAAATAGAAAATGAAGTCATTTGAATTAAAGACATTTATTACGGATATATATCAAGGAAAAGAAATATATACACATTGGAATGGTAATATAATCTGATATTAATTCTTTAGAAAAAATATATGCAAAGAAAATTAATCCCAAAGACGTATATTTCCATCCCAACCGGCAGTGATTACTTTCGATGTTTCATGTGGTAACCATGCACAATTAATGCATACACCATCATGTGCTTTCCATTTTGTTAATAATCTAGTTGTTTTCCATTCCCATAAACATAAATAACCATCACCATCACCAGAGATTACATAACGCATATCTGGTGACATATCTACAGTACATGCATAACCTGATACCATATGACCACGAAAGATTTTTTTACGCATACGTTTAAAACCGGCAAATATATTAAATACAACTAATTGATTATCAAGAGATTGACAAATTAAATATTTCCCTGTAAAAAATAAAAGGAAAGAATTATGATTTCAATATAATAAACAGGAATTATAACAGATTGAACGGTGAAAGTAATGAAACCCATGTGTATTACGTAATATTTGTAAATAATTAGTCAGTTAGATGGATGGATCACCTTCTTCTCAAATGCTCTGGTATAGCCAAGAGTGGGGAAAGTCGGCGCTCCCTTTCCAAATGCTCTCTCACATGGCCACGTACATACAAACACTGCATGGGAAGTCCAATTGACTGCCTTCTCGCAACACGGATATTGTTTACGAAATTGAGAGGACAAAAAGCGAATGTCCGACGCTTTAATCGGGTTGATGGATACGGACAGTCCACCTTAGGGAGTAATGAAACCGTCATTACAGACCAATGGTGCACATGGGCTCTAGAATCCTGATGGAATAAATGGCGTATGAACCAATCGTTTGTCACGGGCTACCATGGGACTGCATTTTCTGACGTTGCTCTACTGCCTTGTGGATTAGACCATTAGGTCGAAGGCTCCGGATGTAGCCCACTAAGAAAACCACCTACGTCGGTTTGGGCACCCGAGCAGTATCACAAACCTCACACAAATTTCATTTGATTTGTGTGGCACATATGTATTTTGTGGTCCTTCATACCAATGTTAATGTGTTTAAATAAATAAATATATAACAAAACTCCTACGTGCGGTTTTATTTAGTTTATCGTTAAAAGCTCTGTTGTCTTATTAATTCATCGATATTTCAAATATTGTTTACTTAATCAATCTTTAACAAGACAAATAAATCTTCCTCTTTGAGGACATCAGGATTAATGAAAAGAAATACTTTGGAACGGGAGACAGTGGAAACAGTCCTCTGTCATACAGCCGTAAGTCGATATCATCTGTCAACGGAAACCAACTCAATGGCTTCACGTGAAGGGAATGTTTAATGAAAATAAGAAGATAGAAAGCAGACATCTGGAGCTTAGATTGGGTTAAGAAATACAAATGAACCATTCGGGTGGGTTTGAAAACCCTGATTACAAATTAACAGTATGCGTAGGTTCCCAATGAAAACAGTTAACCAATAATTCACCACCATGAAGCCTGGCATATATCGGAGTCAGCTAAATTATTATACCACACCAGACAAAAGATGACACTAGCACTGATCAGTAGCAAAGGAGTCCAAATGATTATACTATCAATAATAGTTAATGTCTAACTTTAACTAATCCACGAAATTGAGCGACACATACACCATTGTCCTCAGTGAGTTACTATCTCACAACAGACCTGGTTGAACTCCACTAGTCACTGCTTCTCAATAGAACTCCGGGATATCCCTCCTGAAACCAGTGACTAGTGGGCATATATTGATTAGTATCAGAAGGGGTTTGTGGAGATTGTAGTAATTTCAATAGTTGAGATCATAAGTCAATTGAAGCAAGACCAACATGGAAAACCTATCCCGTGCTTCCAGGTATTCCATGGTAGTCTAGCTTCAATTGATTCATGATCTCAATTATTGAAATTACTATAATATCCACAAAACCCCTTGTGATATAGATATATTAGTTAAAAGAAAGATTGGTAAGAATATAATTTATGGACGAACCAATCAGGTATAAGATAACAGGTCTCGAATTTCGGCCCGAAATTCATTCATCCATTTGCTTAAATAGAATTTTGGCAATATAACTGATGTCAGTTCGTGATGAAAACCCTAAATCTAATCTCTAACCCTAACCATCAACTGTAAATCATAATTCTAATTACTCACGCTGGTTCATAACCCTCATTTGGTTCTAGTTATTAGATGGACACTCTCAAGGTCATTTTAGTGCCACTCAAAGGTCGTCCATAAATTATAATCTTACCGACATTTCAATGAAACTGACAATAAACATACATCATAAGTAATCAGGATACATATATATAAATATATAAACATACCATTCGGTGAAACACTAACCGCTGGCATTGAATGTAAAGAAGGATCAGCAAGATATTTAAAATCCACTGGAATATCCCATTCCCATACACGTAACGATTTATCATCAGATGTTGAAACAAATCTTCTATTATTATCCACAAATGCAACAGCATTGACAGCGCCTAAATGACGATCATACTGTTGGACAACTTCACCACTACGCGTATCATACTAATGTTCGTGGGGGCGTGTGTATGTAGGTTTGTGTGTAGAAAAGAAAGATAACAAGAAGAGGTAAAAATAACAGTAAACGAAAACCCTTGTCAATAAAATGCAATTACTATGAAAACAACATACAACCCTTATTGGATAAAATGATTGCTGATATAAAAACAATTACTTATCTTTCAGTGTGCTATACTAGCTAACACAACGTCTTTCATAAGCTATGTGAGACCTGATACATATCCTCATACATTCTAGTTGCCACACCATATAATATGAACACAATAGTAATGGAAAAGATTGTGCAGTGAGGAGATAATTTACGGACGACCTTGGAGCGGCACTAAAGTGACCTTGGGAATGTTCACCCTCTTACTAGGGTTAAATCAGGAAGCTACAGGTCAAGATTCTGTAATGTTCTTCTAAAAGGTGATTGGGTGGAATGTTTTCGGCTCTTTCAGAGCATCTTTGAGTTCACCGGGGGTCGTCCCTACATTAGACATACCTAATATACGATTCAACCACTTCAGTCGATGAAGATTCATAATACGATCAACTAATTTACCATGTTAGCCTAGTAGCCTATATTTAACTTAGCCATTATTCATTGAGTGATCCCAATATTTGCGAGCACTATATTGAGGACACAAAAGGTTAAACACTGGTAAAGTACGGATGAAATCTACTTTTAAAGGTTATGTTTCACATCGTTAAAGTAAACCGGAGTGAACATCTGAGCAGGATACTAGCCCATTGGTTAGTGGATGAACATCTCACCTAGGACATTGGAGACACGACTAGGTAAAAGCCAAACAAACCCACTGAATTCATTCCTAAATTTCATGAAAACACAAGCCAACCCGGATGATTAGACTTTCACGATACATGGAATGTTCTAGGTACTTAACCACTTTACTCCCTATCATTAGTTTAAGTACTAATGTAAACCAGTTCTGAAGCAACATTTAGCATTCCGATAGAGTGTAACTCCTCACAAACAGGCTTTTATCGTAATTCAAGGCAATCGAGCAACTGAGTTTTGTCAGCCTTCGTCAAACATAACAATGTCATTTGTGTATTCAATAAATGAATCTTCCTGTCGGAGAATGATTTCTTAAAATTCATACAACAAAAGGACCCCCAAATTCCCTGGTACGGCCGAGAGTAGGGAGAGTCAGCTCTTCCTCTCGAAATGTTGTCACATGGCCATTTGCATTCAACAACTGCCACGGAAGTCCTACTCACTGACTTCTCGCGGCAATACTGTTGTTTACGAAATTGAGAGGAAGAAAAGTGGATGTCCGGCGCTTTGACCGGGTTGGTGGATACGGAGAGTTCACCTAGGGGAGTTGGAAAACCCTCATTACAAACCAATAGTGCACATGAACTTCAGGATCCTAAAGGAACAGGTGGCATATGAACCAATTATTCGTCACCGGCTATCATAAGACTACATCTCCTGACGTTACTCCATTGTCTTGTGGATCGAGCTTTTAGATCAAAGGCTCTGGATGTGGCCCGCTAAGAAAACCACCTGTTTCGACGTGGGCACCCAGGCAGTATCACAGCCCATTTCGAAAAAAGAAAAACAGGGTAAATTAAGAAGGATATATGGTTTTTGATTATTATCTGTCTAACCTTATTATCCTAAACGGAACGCTAACAACTTTAAACTCATATAACAACCTTATTATTAAACTCCTCCGAGTCTCTGTGTGTCACTTCCAAACTACAGGCAAGTGGTCTATATATATATATAGTTCAACATTTTGTGAATGACCTACTTTGATGTGTGCTACTGATGTCGATAGATACATTATTAGCTCTATTTAATATTATAGCTTTGGTATAATAAGGAATTCTCAGCATCAAGTATTTCAAAATGTTTAGTTTCTTACTTATTGGTCGATCATGATGACAATTGGGCCTGTTGTGAGACAGTAGAAGACATTGGTGGATGGTGGTACAATTTTGTGGATTGGTTAAAGTTAAACATTAACACCGTCGGATGCTGGCTTAGTGGTCTAGAGGTTAAGAGTTCACGCACGAGACCGATACACACTGGGTTCGAATCTCGCGACGTGAGATAATGCATGAGTACTACTGAGGAGTTCTATGCTAAGACCGAAAGGCCATCCAATGTTTCAACCTTTGCCATGGTGATCTACCTTCAATTAACTCATGAATTCAATTGTTAAATTACTATAATATTCACAAAACCCCTATCTGATTAAAATATTGAATGGTCGCTAGTTGAAAGTTAGCAGTTCAGTCAATCAACATCTAAATAATGCACATTCTTTTCGCTTCATATTACCAGCAACCACGATGTCTCTGATTGGGCTTTTCTCCAACTTGTACAGTGCAAGTTTGTACACCTTTCCTAAACCCACCTTAATAGGTTATGTGATTAAATAGACACAACGATGTGTTAAAACAAACAAAAACAAATAACGTATTGAAATATCTATATGCCAGGAACAGGTAGCCCAGATATACAAGCAGGCCGTTAATTGTTGTTAAAAACAAAAGTACAGGTCAACCTTGACCAGTCTTGTGACCTTGAGCAACCAATCACATTATATGCATTTATACATGTTAATTTTGTAAACAGAAACTTATATAAATAATTTTACAATAATAATCATGAAAATAGTTCATAACCATTAGTTGGTCAATATCTTGGACAAGCAAATAGACAGTATTAACTCTATACGCTAATTAATGAACTATATGAAGTGGTTCTAAAATTTTAAGATTTCTATCTCATTTCTACAGAATGTTACACAGTAAATTACTGTCTAATGTATTCATTCTTTCATGAGTCACACATTATGTAACTGATGGATAGGGAGCCCCCAAATGCCCTGGTATGGCCGAGAGTGGGGAGGGCCCACCCTCCCTCTCGAAATACTCTCAAACGGCCATGCGTATACAGCCCCTGCCAGGGAAGTCCTACTCAATGCCTTCTCGCTCCACGGGTGTTGTTTACGAAATTGAGAGGACGAAAAGCGAATGTCCGGCTCCTTAACCGGATTCCAAACAAATGGTGTACATGGGCTCCAGTATCCTGGGGGAACAAATGGCGTATGAACCGATCGTTGGTCACCGGCTACCATGGGACTGCATCCCTCACGATACTCCGCTGTCTTGTAGATCAGACCTTTGGGTCAAAGGCTTGGGGTGTGACCCTCTAAGAAAACAACCTGCTTCGGTTTGGGCACCCGGACAGTATCCCAGCCCTCACATAAATCAAATAACTCAGTATGGCACACATCTATTTGGTGCCTCCTTGTACCAATATTTATATGTTTAAATAAATAAATAAAAATTTTAACATATATACTACTTACACATAATATTTTTTTATCAGCACAACCAACTAAAAATAAATGTTGTTTATCTTCATCTGGATTAAATTGTACACAATAAGCAACACGTTTTAAATTGAATTGATTTGTACATTTACCAATTTCTGTATCCCATAATTTTACATAACGATCATAAGATGCACTTAAAAATGCTGTTCCATTACAATTAAATGATACATCACGAACAGCTTGACGATGACCCATATAACTACGAATTAATCGACGTTCTTTGTATAATTCCCAAAGCTATCAAGGTGATGAATAATATTGAATGATATAAATAAAAGAAAAATAAAGTCAATGTAGTACAATAATTTGAGCATGATAAAATTATTTCAAGACAGATCCTAAAGTGGTAGAAGTGGTAGTAGAATCAGTGATGATAAGGAAAATTAGGCACAGAAAAAGAAAACAAGATATAAGGAGCCTTTGAAATTCAGGTTTTAAGATATGCCTGTATCATTGAACCCAAAATCTTGGACCATTGGTTACGGTAGTCAGGTAGACCCCAACCAGGTAGTTTGTATCTATTAAAATGGCTCAGGTCTATTGTCAATGACTTCATGAACTGATGCCGAGTCCTAGTTCGACTACTTGCTATGTAGTAACATATATGGAGCAGAATACAAATAAAAAAAATAATTCGCATCATATGGAATCGAACTCAAACGGCACTCAGATGTCACAGTGACCGGGTTTATTATACAGACCATTAAGATTCAATCATTTACAGTTTAAATCTATTCAAGATACAGTATGATAATTATCCGATCATCCTTACTGTCTATGGTACCACTGGATTCCAACGCAACGAGTGGCCTGAATATTGAAATTACAGTGAGATATGTGGGTTTTAGATCCGACCTCTGGTGGAATCATAAATGTGGGAATAGTTCAGGAGTTCCACACTAGGACCTAAAACAACTATCCAGTTCTTTTTGGCTCTCAATAGTGCACTATGGTCAATCCGTTACAAGCACTATCTACAGTGGAAGTATACTAATCAATATTCTCCAGCGATTTGCAAGATAACCCTGAGAAGACAAAGCAAATGATTAGCTAATCAGAATCCAGGTGATGTAAACGAATAATTTGTTAAAAATACAAAAATGGTAAATATTAGAGTTGGAGCTACAGTAGGAGAATGCTTTGTAGTAATATTAATGAACACATATCCAGATAGTCTTTCGATTGCAAATCCAAGGATCACACTAGTTCTCATGAAAATTTTACAAATCGTCTTCGGATGTTACATTTCTGTCATTTGTTCCAAACTCATAATAATAATAATCATTTAGGTTTGGTCCTATTCTTTCGCCTTTCCATGTTTATTATTTGTAAACGTCAGGTTTAACTGTTTCTTGCTTTAGGTTTAACAAAATATCTTTTGTGGTGTTTTGACTTTACGTAGAACTACAACAGCCATCATATTATTTATTATTTATTTGAACACATAAATATTGGTACAGGGGGGCACCAAATATATATGCGCCACACATAGGAATCATATTATGTCTAATTGATCCATCAGTAAAGTATGTTCTACATAAAATAAACAGATTTCTACGAAATTCCTTCATTAAAGCGAATTTATTCATCAAGTATAGTGTTGCTGGCGTTTTATTACGAATCATCCTGCTAGTAAATAATGTCAATGTGTTTAGACCAATTGCTTGTTTGACGTCGAATTTTTTTATATTACTAGTGTGGAGCCAGCCAAATCGGTAATGAATAAATAATCACTTACCAGGCAAATAGACTCATGTGTGCTTAACCCCAAGCTTTGCTCTAAGTGCAAAGACTAGTGGTACTACCTAGTTGATCAAATCGAAGCAAGTATACCGTGATTCATACCTGATAGCTAGCAGTTGAAGGGTGAGCAGTCTAATCACTGAGTTACTGCTCCACAGTAGTAAAATGATCATCCACGAATAATATGTAATAGGATCTGGTTGTATCATAAATTGACTGGGTTTGAAATTGTTATGTTCCGATAAGCATAATGAATGGTAACTTTTGGGATCCATTTATGGATCAATACTATAAGTACATTTTTATCGCATAATTGTTAAACAATTAAACTATTCATATTCATGTCCAACTTATCATGAGCTTTATTTTGACCTATGAAGTATTATTCTATGATTTACCATTCTTGAATTATACCCTGTCTATTAGTCACTGCCTCTCACATTCACAGCCACATTTGGCCAAATCTTGTACAAATGTTATTTTCCATTTTATGGTACAATGTGGTCTGTCTGGTTAGTACATAAACCCAGTATGTTTGAAATACATGATTCATATTGCAGAGGCTGAGATTGGTGTTCTGGACCTAACTGGCTGGACTAGGCAGGAAGCAGGACCGATAAGTACTCTAGACTGCTCGTACGGGTTTTACGCGTCATTGGTCTGATTGATAATTCACTGCTCTCTAATTGTCGGTATCATCAAGTTATACATTAACAGGGAACACAGGCCACAAGTTATGACAAATGTAGAAATTACAAGATACCGAAGGTATCTTACTGCAAGACCTGAACATCGTGAAAGATAGTAATTCAAGATAGAAATTTACCATTAAAACTGATTTTATAAAAATCTTGAAAATAAATTATCTACCTTAATCTTTGAATCCATTCCAGCAGATAACATTAAATGACCAGTATGAGGGAACAGGCGAATTGCTGCAACACCACGTGCGTGTGCACTAATCCATTCATGAATTTGTCTTTTAGGTAAAAAGCATCGTTCTGGTGGATCAGTTGCTCGTAAATTTACATTCGGTATATCATGTGGTGCATGCAAGAAACTTCTACCCTATCAACATTAACATCAGTTAGGACAAAGATAACACAACATATAAAAACTGATAAAATTCACTTTACAAATTACAGAATGTAACTTTGGATGCATTTAATCCATATTGCATTTATAGGTTACGTTTTAACAAGTAGGAATATTATACTAAAATTGAAACCAAATTTATCAAAAGCATAATATTGATGATTATGATAGGACTTAATAAAGAAGAAATATAAGTCAACAAATGCATATTTGTGACAGTGCAATTAATTTCTGCAGTCATTTTACCACCTAAGGTCGAAAAACCGATAACTCATCATGAAGATATCAACTAGGAAGTCAACAAACTTACCGATGGTACGGCTTAGTCTGAAAGCTAATGACTTCATTGAGTAACTTTCAAGCACTTTTGTAATCGACTTTTTTGCCGACTAGAAGATCAATAACGATCGGGGTGTTGAGAAGACTGCTTGACCTAAATACAGTATATATATATATATATATATATATATATATATATATATATATATCTTTATATGCAATCTTTTATATATTACTACCATTGAAGTAACTACTTCTTCGCTTTTCGTCCTCTCATTTTCGTAAACAACACCCCCGCCACGAGAAGGCAGTGAGTAGGACTTCCCTGGCAGAGGCTACATACACATGACCATGTGAGAGCATTTCGAGAGGGAGAGCGGACTCTCCCCACTCTCGGCCGTACCAGGGCATTTGGGATACTACCCCTAACTCAGGGTCTGAAAAGTCGGAAAAATGAAATTTTCGCAAATGCGACAAAAATGATCTTGGTGGTGCGGTTATAATATTCCGACATCAGACAATAGGTTTTAGGCGTTATTTAAGCCCTAACGCTTCAGGCTGGGGTATTTCGCTTACTACCCTACATATGTGTTGTATGCAGTATAAGCTATATGGCTGTGTAGAGCTGAAGGTCTCATATGAGGCTGGAGGCTCGCCATTGCTATTGTGCATGGTTCAGCAATGCTTTGGCAAGTTTTGCTGACTGTTTACGAACAAAATTGGTTTGCTGGTTAACTGATTTCATTCATACTGGTGGTTGCTTTTCAGTGTTCTCGAGGGCCATTCTTCCTTTACATTTAATTCACTCTTAATGTGGTCAATTTGCAACAAAAACCATCATATTTTCATTTCCTAAGTAGCTATAGCTGGGTTTAAACTCGCAACTTAGCTTCTAAAAGCCAAACACTTTGACCACTGAGCCACTATACTCCACCAATCTATTGAACAAAAAGTTAGCTGACCTGATAATCATATGGTGTTGGTATATGCAGTGTAGATTTTTCTTCAACTGGAGCTTCTTCGACAACTTTTCTTTTGCTAGCTTTCTTTGCTAAATATGCTTCCAAATAAACACGGTCCTCTTCAGAAGGAACCGAAACAGTTACTTCATCTTTATATTTAGCCCACGGTCCAGTATAATCTTCACTTGTTGGGTCCCAATTACTATCACGTTTACGTAGATCACCTTTTCGTTTCTGGCGCTTTTCAAATGCAGTTTTTCCTAGAAAGAAAGATGTGACAAGAATAAACATTTTTTGGTGAAAACAATAAAAACGTTCAATGCAAGACAACTCTTAAGTCTAAATTATACTTAGGTTTGGAAATTTCGGCACATTTGGAAAAGACAAACAAAAATCACCTAAAACAAGTACGTGTACTCGGCATTATATCGTATTTAATGAACTCGCATGTAAGAGGACTTAATCAGTCAGTTAGCTACAAGTAATATAGAACATGAAACGTGGATCAGTTCAAATTATTATCAGTACGAGGTGAAATTTTTAAGATGTAGTTATAATAAGTGGTAATAAGAAAAGTTAGGTATACGAAATACAACCCAATAACTTGTGAATTTGTGGGACAAAAAGTTTATTACGGACCTAAAACCCAGGACCCATGGGAAGGGGACGAGTGAGTGCATTTGCACCACTGACTCATGCAACCCAACGTCTCTAACCATTAATCACGACGATTCGGAAGACTTAATCAGGCAGTCTGAACCTAACAATACGTCACAGTCTGACAGGTCAGGACTTCAAAGACATTTAATACTGATGTTTGTAGGATAAGTCAATGAATATTTGAAAAAAGGATATGTACAACTATTCAAACCAGCCTTACCTTCATTTTCTGCCATACTTTCTGTCTCCCCAACTAAACGTCGATCAGCACCTCCTTCAACAGAAGGATCTTCTGCGTAACCTATTATAAATAAATAGAAATTAAATTACCATAAACTCACCATAAGTCATAAAAGTTCTATGTTGGTTTTCAAAAGCAAACTTATTAACGTGAGCCTCTTCAACATATCCAGTTAAAGTATTTTTAGGAGCCAATTGTTTTTCAGATTTAAACGGATTGACTGGACCGAACTGACAAAAGTAAGTTCCATCAAAAAAAGAACAACACTTACAGATGGTGCGAATAATTCTTCATAAGTAGGATTATGAATAAGTTCATGAGATTGTGGGTCAACAGGCACAAGAGACAGAAATTCATCCTAAAAACAAAACCGATCACACTGACATTCATACACATTACCCTGTGCTCCACAACTGGCGCAACATCGATTGATTTAATTAAACGACTTTTTAAAAGTTGTGTTGGAGCAGTGTCTTGTTTGGGAATATCATCATCAGAGGAAGAGGATTCATAAGTGACGATTCCATCCATTTCTTGTTTATTAATAAAAGTACTTACTATGTGAGAAAGACCAATTCAAGTAGATGGAGCTCGGCAGAAAATGACAACTACCTAAAAGATAAAAAAACAAGAGTAAATGTCGGGTCAAGTAATCTTGACAATTTCATAAGCAGCGATTGTAAACACCATAGAGGTACGTAGAAAGAACTCTGTACTGATTAGTTGTTTAAAAATTTATATTCTGGCCTTGCTCACAAATGAAGAATTAAAAGATACTACTCTTCAAACCAGTTTTTAAAATAATTTTTCTGTGAAACCACTCGTGTTTCTGAATCTTCAGCAAATTATTGCAGTAACGTTTGGTTGAATTCAAAAGTAGTCTTACGGTAAAATTGTAGTTGAAGAGTGAATACGATATTATTTGAACGTCAGATACTTAAAATGCTGTAGACATATATTTATCTACTTGTATATCGGCAGCAAACCTAAAACCTAGGATGATAACACTATAAAATAGAAAGAAAATGATTGTGATGTTGAATCTAAATAGCTTCCAGAATGCCAAAGCAATGAAATAACGCATTGACAGAATTTGGACGTAAAGATTGAAGATACCATGCGACTATCACCATCTAGACATTACATCTTTATAATTCTGTTAGAGAGCGATTTTGAGGGGCTTTCAGAAAATATAATCCCTGTAAACCTTGAAACCTTTATGCTACATTGTTTAGCGCGATTCCGTCAACTATGAAATTGTTTACATACATTTACGGTTTGAATGATCCCAGGATGGCTTGAAAGTTCCAGAATGAAATAAAGCCCCCAAGAACTTTGGAACCAAACTTGGTTCAATATCCCCATCTAAAAAAATCGTGACGGCAAATTAAACTGTGATTCTGAGGTTGAACAATTTCAAAATATTGATGGTAATAGGAATTGGCGATTTATAGTCTAAAAAACTTATGAGAATAAAGTACATGTGATAATCTTGGCCTAAGGATTCTCAAGGTTTAATCAAACTTCATGACTCTAAGAAAAATTACTCCTAATACTAAACCATCCATTAGAAATTACTTAAGATTAAAGGTTTTCGAGCAAGTTCTCTATGCTGCTTTGGATTTATTCCAAACTATTTATACTCAAAAATTTCAGGAACGAAATGGGTGACGCGTTTGAATAGCGATTCAGAAAATAGTGAGCTTCCGGTCTTTAAACGGTGTGAACACACCAATTAGCGTCAACTAAGACATTAATAATGACATGAGCAAAGGTATACTTCGAATATAAGTGAGTGGAATAAAACCTTGTAAATTCGTTTTATAAAATCTGCAGTGGGAGGAGTAATCGTTTTCTGTGGCTTATCCCAAAATTATCTTTCTAACCTTGTAATGCAATGAAAATCTTCCTTTGAATTTGCAGTGGTTGAGACTCAATAAACACAAACTCCCTAATGCCAGAAAGCTAGAGGAAAGTAAAACCCTTGATAAACGAGCTAAATTTAACTTTATGGGCAAAAAAGTCCTAAACGCACTACGAAAGAATGAGCTATAGGGTTCAGCTTAATTACATATGAAAACAAACCATGAGCAATTCGCAACGCTCTACTCAAATTAAGCGCACTCCCAAAAGCAATATCGAATATGAAATATATCCGGCTTCGATGTGACTACTATGCATGAATTGATTGCTTCCTGTTTATCCCAATTCTTCAAGTTTTGTTACGGCTCTGTTTGTCCATTTATCTTCAACGTATGATAATCTAGCTATTCTACTGCACGATTTTTAGTCGTTTTCGAACTTATTTTTGGATTTGTATGTTTTGCAATTTGACGGTGTGCACCTAACTCATAGCAGTTAAATTTTCGGAGCACGCAGGCATCAGATTATCAAGCAGTAGGCCGGTTGAATGCAGCGTGAAAAACAATAAGCAGAAAATTAGAGTCGTAAGAGATTATTTCAAACAATAGTTCAATTAACAAGACGATTTATTAGTAATGAGAACGGTGTAGGAAAACCAAAGTGCAGAAATAAAAGCGGAAAAGCAAATGACGATAGGTGAAATAAGATTAAGGTTATAATATGTGGTAATTATGGTATACGTTAGTTACTAGATTCGAATCAGGGACAGCCAGTCCATGAGGAATTGGACTATATTACACATTCCATCCACTCAGGTGGACAACCAAGCAGATCTGCGTGTTAATGGCAGGATGTGCAATATTTACGAGATTACTGTAGGGCATTATGGACTTCGCGTTATGTTTTGTGAGCTTGGAGTTTCGTTCGAGTTTCCGTTATTTTTAATGACATTCACATCGTTTGTTTTAGACAATATGAACTATATTAAGTTGGCTTTTCATTATGTCGTGTCAAGGTTATGTTATGAATGATGCCGCTTCTACTAATACACTGTTGTAATTTATGTTGGGGTGTTTATCTGCCAGTTTCGCGCTCCTGTCTTTTTTGTTTGTAATAGTTTACGTTCCATAATGCCATAGGTATTCCCATCTGATAACGATCACCTAAGATACTAGTATATTGTAAGTGCGAGCTCAGATATGCTACACTGATCTTCAGTGTTTTAATGTTTGGGTAACAAAGGTATGTGGCGGTAAATAAATCCCAATAATAAAGTTCTGTATGTCTTCGACATTGGTGCTGACCTTATTAGTTTTACTAAACACATCCTATTTAAAGGCATCAAATCATGAGTGTGTACGCCATGCTACGCATCCCTTGTGACTACTCGATAGCTTAGGTAAGACGCTTCTCAACATATCGACAACTTTGTAAATATATCTTCGAACGCATTCATTCCTGACTTCTGACTTGACTGAATCTATATCCTCCGACTATGGAATTGTTAAACTCCGAATATCTGTGACACCAATAAAATACGCTGTTTTCCGAAACGTTTGTAGTGACCTACTTTTGTCAACAGAACGCGATTGGATCGATGAAAACAATTATTATTATAACCAATTGTACCAGTGACTGTTTTACTGTGCTCGTTTGTTTAACTGTGCTAATGACAGCCATTATACTTACTCTCCCGTTGACTTTGAACTTGTACGAATTCGGTTACGCTCAGTAACCACACTTGTACTTCTTTGGCACGATCTCGGTATTCTTTCGATACCACGAGATCGCCAACAAATACATCTCGACTACAGCCATAATCTGTCTTCTGATGTTGACCTACCGGGATCTTATTGGTTAATTGGCACGTAGTCTTGTAGCGGTGTTCATAGTCAAGCTCAACTCGACACCACGCTACATTTGGTGAGCCAAATATTGGAACACGCCTCAACCTCGATCAAATCTTTCAAAGAAGGCAATTCGGTGTGTCTATTGTTTTATCTATCCACGTCTGTCATATATTTTCATATTAATTTTTAATATATAATATATTTGACATGACGGATAGCGATAAGAATAGTATTAATATAATAGACTCCGATGTACGCGTATCGAATCTTCGGCACTTTTTATTCGCATGACGATAAATTCCACGCTTTATTCGAGAAATTCCCCAGAATAACTAAACCACTCGAGGAGATTTCATCGGTGACCAATCATGTGGTACACCACATAGTCACCCGCGGACCACCAGTCACGGCAAGACCACGCCGATCGGCACCGGACAAATTAGCTTTCGCTAAACGTGAGTTTGACAATTTACTATCTGCTGGTATTATTCGTCCTTCTCACAGTCCTTGGGCCTCTCCTTTACACATGGTGCGCAAAAAGGATGGGGTTAGTTGGAGACCATGCGGCGACTACCGAGCTTTAAACGTAGTTACGCGCTTTGATAACTACCCCATCCCCCACATACACGACATCACGGCATCGCTCAAGGGCACGACTATCTTTTCTAAAATCGATCTGGTACGAGCATGTCACCAGATCCCAGTCGCTCTTGAAGATATCGAAAAAACTGCTATCACGACTCCTTTCGGTCTGTTTGAGTTCCTATGAATGCCATTTGGATTACGAAATGCTGCTCAAACTTTCCAAAGGTTTATCGATAGGATGATACTAGGCTTCGTTTTTGTTCATGTCTAGATTGATGACCTGCTGATCGCATCATCAAATGTAGATGAACATTATCAACACCTTACGCTATTATTCCAACGTCTTTCGGATAATGGAATAGTAGTCAACCAAGAGAAATGTGAATTGGGTAAATCAGAAATAATATTTCTGGGTCACATCATCAGACAAGAGGGTATTCTGCCTTGCGAGGACAAAGTTCGAGCAATCAAGGAGTACAACGTGCCGTCCTCAATCAAGGAACTGAAGGCTTTTCTCGGTTTGGTTAACTTCTACCGACGTTTCATCCCTCACGCGGCTGAACGGTTACGACCATTAACCGATTTACTACGCGGTAATCCACGCAAATTAGAATTGAACGATACCGCACGTACTGCATTCTCAGAGATCAAAACGGATCTCGCTGAAGTTACACTTCTAGCTCATCCTGACCCATCAGCCACGCTTAGTATAGCGGTTGATGCATCGGATTTTGCCATAGGAGCCGTTATGCAACAGAATATCTCCGGTAGTTGGCAACCGCCTGAATTTTTCTCACGACGCCTTACTCCCACGGAGACGAGATATAGCGCTTTTGGTCGCGAGCTGCTTGCAGCCTACTGCGCCATCAAACATTTCCGGCACGCAGTAGAAGGACGCCAATTCATTTTATTCACTGACCATAAGCCTTAAACGTATGCCCTGCATACCACGTCTGACCGCTACTCACCACGAGAGTGCAGACATTTGGACTATATCTCACAGTTCACGACAGACCTTCGTCACATTAAAGGCGAGTCGAACTATGTTGCCGATGCTCTTTCACGTATCCAGACGAATGCAGTTACTTTACCGGTGCTTGATTTTCCTGCTATGGCCGCCGCGCAAGCAAACGATCCTGTCTGTACAGAAGCACCACAATCTTCGTCCCTTCAGTGTCAGGAAGTACCCCTAGCTACTAGCTCAGGTACTATCCTATGTGATATTTCTACCGGTCTTCCTTGACCCATCGTACGCTCTGCCTATCACCGTCACGTCTTTGATGCCCTTCATGGATTGTCTCATCCAGGTATCGCAGCCACATTACGTCTCATCGCTGCACGATACGTCTGGCCGTCCATGAATAAAGATGTTCGTATGTGGGTAAAGCAATGCTTACAGTGTCAACTATCAAAAGTGCACAGGCACTTAGCTGCCCCCATTGGCACGTTCGCTACGTCTGATGCTCGCTTCGATCACGTTCATGTAGACATTGTAGGACCATTGCCACCATCGCATGGGTATAATCACATACTCACGTGCATTGACCGTTTTACAAGATGGCCCGAAGCTATTCCCATCACGTCTATCACGGCGGAGACAGTTGCTCACAGCTTCGTAGAACGATGGATAGCATTGTACGGTTATCCCTCGACTGTCACGACTGACCGAGGACAACAACTTGAGTCCGTATTATTCTCCTCACTGACCCGGCTGCTTGGTACGGAACGCATACGCACTACTGCCTACCACCCAGCATCGAATGGTTTAGTCGAACGGTTTCATCGCCAACTTAAAACGACAATTGTTACGAAACCTTACCGCTCGTTCTCTTAGGCATCAGAACGAGTTTGAAGGTAGATATTCAATGTTCCGCCGCTGAACTTGTATACGGCACGACATTGCGTCTGCCTGGGGAATTCTTCACACCACGGAGCAGTAACGATTTCGGTAAATCAGACTACGTCCATCGACTGTCTGCATTTATGCGAACGCTGTCTCCGGTGTCAACTCGAATACAACATCGACAGGTCGCTCTCCCTCGAGAGTTATCCACCTGTTCACATGTTTTCATACGAGTAGATTCGGTACGCAAACCTCTACAACAGCCTTACGAAGGCCCTTTTCACGTGATCTCTCGTCACGAAAAGACCTTCAAGGTTGATCGACAGGGCGTGTCGAGATCGTCAGCATTGATCGTCTCAAACCAGCACACGTCGATGACAGAGCCCTACCCGATAACTTGAGACTCAATGCTAGACCTATCAAACCTTCTAGCGGGATCTCTACGTCTACCTCGGATCCCACGCTAGATACATCAGAGACCTCGTTCTCACGTCCCGGTCAACAGCACGCGTCATCTGCACCATCTACGAACGAGACCACCGTCTCACGTTCCGGTCGCCGGGTACGATTACCCGTACGCTTTCGCGACTAACCGCGCAATCAATAACGGATACGGTGTATGATTATTCCTATACTACACGCATGCTACACTTTTCTTTTTTTTGATTTTTTTTGTATCCTGAGCCCACGCCTCCGACCATCGCCCGTTCGGTAACGTCAACTTCAGTCACCTTTGGCAAAAGCTGGTTTGGCCACCCATGCTCTAGTCAACGCACTCAGTCGATTATCTGGTCTCGAATTCGCCTGGCACACGCTTGGTCGTTATGGTCGCGTCCGGTTTCTTGGCTCAACGTGGTTTCGTCCTACGTCTGCAGCGTTTTCTGGTCCGCATCCCTACGAACGCAATCTTCAGATCCTGGATACAAACCACTCTGGTGTGGTATGCTAATTCGACCAACGAATACGGCACAATTCTCCTGGTACCGTTCTGCGCAA